AAAAGTTGACTTTGACTATGCAATACTACCCTGTGAAGTGGTATGAAAGATGCTAAGAAGAAGACAGTTAGAAGAGAAGTCCTTTTTCTGGACTTGCGTTATTGCTCAGAAAAAGAGGCTCTCTTGTTATATTAGTCTTGCAAAGGCTGTAACGAGGTAGAAAGTTGTTCTTTTCTACACTTAATTTAGTCCAGTCAATTTGCTCTTCCATATATGGTTGTCTTGGCCATAATTATCAAAGTTGTTAATACCGTACCCTACGATCGATATGGTTGGTACGTAGTGGTTTTTGTATTAAACCAAAATGATACATGGTCCAATTTCATTTCGATCAAATTTTGGTATACCAACCAATATTTCAGCGTACCAGCCAATACACAAAAGTTATCCAGTACAACTTAATTCAAATTTAAAAAGGGTAAATTTCATTTTTGGTCCCCAACTTTAATATTTTATATAATTTTCATCCTATAATTTTTTTATATACTTTTTTAGTCCATTTTTCATATTTTTTTTCAATCCTTCTATCAATTACTCCGTTAAGTTTGTCTAAATATACATATTTTTAATTCCTTAATTTAAAGTGATGGACAAAAAATATGCATATATTAGAAGTTAAGGGACTAAAAATGGTCATTTTAAACTTGTTTTCAATTTATAGGAATACAATGATTTTAAACATTAATATCTCTTATCTTATTTTAAATTTTGATATTTAATTTATAAAAATATGTATTTATAGTAATAAATTCAAAACGGTACATGAAAAATTTCGATATTCGATACATACCGTTCCAATAGCAAAATCGATACGCTTATCGGTACAATATTGACAACTTTGATAATTATTCACAAACACGAAATTCAAAAAATGTGTGCACCATATGTTAATGGGATCATGACCAACACCACTTTCTGTTAATTTGTTATTCTCACTGCTTAATCACAACATTTGGTTGTTAATTTAATTCCACTAAGTTTGTTGCTCAGTTATCTGCGATACAAAAATAGATTAGATCCTGAGAAATGTTGAATTATATTATTTTTTGTCATTGCTGCACTAAATACTTGAATGAGTATTGAGGATGGCTTTTGGGTATGTTAAAACCTCAGGTTCTTTTTGTCCTGACTCATGTTTGTTAGGGGTTTCTTTGATATTAACATAAAATGTCAGACTTCCGAACTGTATAGTTTGGTAATGACCTGTGTTCCTATTTCTTGGTGATTTTCATTTGACAAATTGTACAATTCATAATTTTAATTATAATTTAAATATCATGAAAAATTATAAATTT